AGGTGATGTTGCGTGCAACGCGCATTGCGTGCATTGCGCGATAGAGGACACTGTTGTGTCAACATTAGATATATTGTAACCCGGTTCAGGGTACCCCTGTGTGAGCTTTAGATGTGGAAAAAAAGCCCTGGTTTTCCATCCAGTATTTCCAATCTCCCTTGGTCCCAGAAAAATTACAGTAACGGGAAGTGAACTTTGCAAAAACACGGCGTCGCGCTTATTTTAAGCATCCGAGGTTCACAACGAAGTATTATTATAACACTTTGCATGCTCATGTCCATTTCTTTGTCTTAAAAAACGAGTTTACATGTCCGTTATCAGCCGCGCTTATTCGAGCAAACAATGTTAGAGGTGGACTTAACAACAAAGATCACGGTTTTGTTGTACGAAAATAAAAGCCCGGTAAGAAAGGGCATGTAACAATGGTGCACGAAATCTTTTGACGAATAGCCAGAAATTAGCAAGAATCTGTAAAATAACTTGCAGAGGAACTGTTTACAACTTTTGCAGTTTTTTTAAAGAAGATTTCATAGCAAAAAGGACTCGAAACATCGGATTTCATTTTTATGGTAGTTATTGTATCTCATGAATACGTCAACCAAGTTCCTCGTCTTGAAGTAATTCCTGACACATGGTCTTGATATTAGGGCCATTTATACGAGGAAAAATAAGACGCGTCTTACATAAGACGCGTCTTAAATAAGACGCGAACTTTCCGTATAAACGGCACATTTCGTCTAAAATAAGACGCGGCTTAGCTAAGACGCGTCTTATTAGATAAGACATGCTCGTATAAATGGTACAATTCGCGTCTTACTTAAGACGCGTCTTATGTAAGACGCGTCTTATTTTTCCTCGTATAAATGGCCCTATTGTATCGGGGGTGGGGGTGGGGGTAGGTTACTTAGCAAAGTTTTGTACATTGAGGTCAGTTCCTTACCATTTTTGACAGAAAAATTACCCCTTTTGTATACCGTCCATTGATAAATGGTACCCCCCTTCACATGCCTTTGCTTACTTTTAACTGCTGTAAATCTACTGTATTTCAAATGTGAATAAATAAAAAAACAGAGCGTTTTCTCCACTTTTTCACAGCATGCAAATGAAACTGTTTGCCCTTTTGTATTTTTGTACAGACCGAAATGACTAATTTCCTTACTATATCATATACTAGTAGAATTTCTACCCTTTTATATTCGTGGATAAGAGAGAGAGAGAAATGAAGAAAGGTTTAAAAAAAAGTGGCAGAAGAGTACAGGTAGACACTCGACGAACCAGGGTCTCGGAGGGTTTTACGTCGCTTTTTTTGAAGAGTATGGGATGGGGATAAAGAAAACAAAAAGAGTTCATTCTCAGTTCCAAATTGAAAGAAACGAGAAAATGTAAATCGTATTAGCGAAAAAACCGCGTACAGTCTAACCTCTCCTTACGGACACCTCTATAACGGACAGTTCGTTTGGTCCAAGAAATGCCAAAAATCATACTTTCCTCAGCTACCTCTATAATACGGACACCTCTATAAAGCGGACAATTGGTTCTGTCTCGTTGGTGTCCGTATTAAAGAGGTTTGACTGTATTTCATTAGTTTGCGTGGGAATGGCTAGAAATCAGTTTTGCAACACCTAGAGGAATATTTTCTGGCTAGCTGGATGAAATTCGTTAGGCATCAATTTCGATCTTTCTCGCTCTCTTTTTTCTCCCTTTCCTGTCTCCTTTATTGCCAGTTGTGCTGCCCGCTTAATCTTCTTTGTTTCGCATGGAATTGAGGATTAAAGGAACAGTTAAATATGCAAAGAGTAGTAGGTAAATGGCGAAATTGGCATTGGATTCTCCCCAAAATGGTACTTCAGTGGTGTTGTCTGTAATACTCCGTCAGGATTGGTCATAATTTCAAAATGAGTATCGGTGGAATGTTATAACCAACTTGATAGGTTAAACTGAAAAATAAACGGGTCCAGGAAGGAAAATACGCATCGTTCCATGTGGAACGAAAACTACCAAAGCGGCCATCAGAGGTTTTAAGGATTTTGGGATTCCCCCATTTCCAGTTAAGGAAGATGTTTGTGTACCGGCGTCGTCAAGAAACACCTACCCTGGGTTTCTCGTGTGCGACGAGGAGCTTCGTCGGCCGACACATCCTCAGCCGTGAGAGAAAACGAAGGTCACTTAAAAATCTCAACCGGAACCGGAAAACGCGCACGAAACCAGGGCTAGTGCATCTGGGTTTTTCCATAGACGGTTGGCAGTAGTTTTAGTAATGGGTTTTAAGTGAAAATACATCACGCTGTAAAGGGATCTTGCATTTGCCTTATCTGCAGTAAAAGTAAATGTAGTTATATCTGGGATTCAGTCAGGTGGTTTGCACGGGCTTTTAAAATCGGGTATAGAGAAAAAACATAACATTCATGAAACGATCTTCCGCTTACATAATTTTTATTGTTGTATACCAAATTCCTCGTTTTTGGATAAGTGGGCTCCAAGGGTTTTTTCTTAAATCTTCCTTATGGTAATAAGGGATAGTAATTTCGCGCATATATTTTCTTCCTCTTGTGGCTACACTTAGACGTTTGGATTTGGCCTTTTTTTTAATGGTTTCACCCTCAACTCCTTAGTGAATCCCGTTGTTCCTGGTCAAATAGTGCTGTGAATAAGGGGAACATCCTTTATGTGAAATCCAACAATGCACACGTCTGCCGTGACTTTGTTACGCACGTGGTCTGGGTTTAAATCCCAGGTTGGATTCAGAGTTGAAGGATGAAGTACCCTGAAACGGTTTCACCAAGTACACCAAGAACCACGGTGAATGAGCATTCTGTAATAGCTGAACCATACATAACCATAAGTCGACATCCCGGAGGTAGTTGAGGGGAATGCCCCTGTCCCCTTTGGCCATTTCCGAGTTCGAAAATCTCTCACGTTCCTAGCGAACTTAAGTGCAACACCTTTCTTGTAAAAATGAGTTTTGTCTGCATGTGACTCGTATCAATAGCTTCGCACTTAACGTCACATTGAGTTTCAAACTCAGAAATATGGTTCGTAGGCAATTTGTGGGGAAGGATCACGTGACAAAGCCCCAAGAACAACTGCGTGGGAAGCTACTCGGAATTGGCCTGCTTCGGTCATTGTTGATTCTTGTACCGTTAACATTTATTTTACTTTAGGATATGAAGAAGATGGTATACAGTAAAAACACAGTGAGAACTTTCCATTACAAGTACATCCTACGGGGACCCTGATGGTGTCGGTTTGTTTATCAAGTGTCCTTTTGCGGAAAATTTTGAAGAATATTTGAAGTTTTAAATACTTTACTGTTTCATATCTGACAATAGACAAATATATGGAACGAAATTTAAATACTAAGATTCCTTCACTTTTTCCTGTCTCGATTCCCTGTCCGATTCCCTGTCCGATTCCTAAATTTGCGTGAAAGCATTCTACCTTGTACCCAGGTTCCTCTCATTTTTATGCTGATAAAAACCAAAATGGCCGAACAACCGTTTGCCATTGAAAAGGTTCACGAGGGTGTGTACTTGTTACGTGAGAGATTCTATGATTCCCCAAACCAAGCTAACATCTGGCTTGTTCAAGGATCATCCAAAGATTTGGTTATCGACACTGGCTTGGGGATATGGAACTTGCCAGGCTTTCTAGAGCAACAAGGCCTGATCGGCCCGAAACCTGTACAAGCGGTCGCGACTCATATTCATTTCGATCACTCCGGAGGTTTGCATCAGTTCGAAAAGTTCTCCATCCACAGCCTAGAAGCGGAAGCAATTCGCCAAGGCGATAACTTCGTTACCTCGACGCTTTTCTTTAGCGCGTCCGAAATTGCTGTACCCCCATACCAGGGGTGGAAAATATCGGACTACAGGGTCAAGGCGGCGCAACCGTATACCGTCGTAGAGGAGGGTCATGTCTTTGATCTTGGCGACCGGAGCTTGCGGGTTGTTCATCTGCCCGGTCATACCCCAGGGAGTATTGGTTTAATCGATGAACGCGCCAGGATTCTGTTCACCGGAGACGTGATGTACGAGAGTGACGCTTTGATTGACTGGTTGCCACAAAGCAATATAAATGCCTACGTTCAATCCTGCAGAAGACTACAAGATCTTTCCAGTCATGTCGACTGTGTGTTTCCCGGACACTCGGTTATGTTCGACGGTAGAAGGCTTCATTTCCTAGCATCTGAGTACATCTCTAGAGCTGGGGCGTGTCATAAGATTTTCACCACTGTGTTGAAGGGTGTATCGTATATGGTACTTAAAGCAAAACACTCGGCTAACATTCCTGCTAATTGCTGTTACCATGCCTGTTGCTGCTGCTGTTGTATCGCTTAACTCAGAGTTATGCTGCTGTCTCACATCTTTTCAGAGGCGTTTACTCAGGTGTGTACAGTACAGAGGGAAACTGGGCTGGTTTGAGAAAAGGATGAACATCTTAGAAGTGCCCATACTAAACATTTCCTGGGTGAGAAATTGCCCTTTAAAGGAAAAGTTGTTCCCCCTGAAAATTATTGTAAAAAAAAAAGATATTTGGAATTGCTAAAAATATTTACTGTAGCTGTGCAATGCGAGTACAATGATCCCACATTTGCAAAGTACTCATCAAAACCTGAATTCATCTCGCAAAGGTGTTGCTTCTTCGATAAATGGTGCATGAAGGGGCATTAAAAAGTCAGAAGTAACAAAGGAAAAGCACAATTGTAAGAAAAAGAAACTTCACTTTTGCTAGTCACTGTTCAAGTACAAACGTTTTTAAGCATAATACTTTAGGGTCGAAAATCTATTAATCCTAAAAGAAACAACCTCCCCTCACCCCCTCCCCAGAAAAGATAAAGAGGGCGGTAGTGGGTTTTGGTTATGTTTAAAAATTACTAGATTGCTTCTGAACTAGTTCACCTTGTAGGCTCTCTTAACAGATGGAATCTTGTGTGGTTTTCATGTCTTCATTGTAAACAGGTGGTTAAGTGTACGTGATTGATTTATTAAATCAAATTCAAAGTCAACGTAAGTCATGCCTTTTATTGTACTTATGTTTGACACAGTGCTACGAACCACGGCTCATGACACACCCTGAAGTCCTTGAATAGTCCTGGAATTTAATTTCATATGTGTTGTAACATTGAAACCTGTGGGGATCCCCCTTAGGGGCCCCTGACTGACTTACATGCGCACCCCGAAAACGGAGAACCGCGTGCGTTGTGGTTTTGACTAGCTTGGGACACGAACATTTTAAAATAGTCTTTACTAGTTGTTGAATTTAGCTTCACTGAATGATCTTATAACAATATGGAAGATAATAAAGTAGTATTTATAACAAAGTTATTCAAAGATTGAGCACAAATTAGCTCAAATTTGAAAGACGGGACAGATTTTTGGGAAAATATGCAGCTAAAACTTGCTCTGAACACGTATTTGAAAAGTCAGATTGGTTAAATATATTTTGGGACTATCCGTTTTTCTGCTATTTCAGTAAACCCCAGAAACCCTTCATTAAAACAAATATACAAACAAACAAACAGATTTTTCCTGCAGCCGCCGTAGATAAACGCACCAGGGTCATGCAACACTTTTATTTGCAAGCATGAGAGTGCCGGGTTGCGTCTCAAGTGCGAGGAGCGGGCCACGTGGACAAACGTCCCGTCCTCACGCTTGAAGCCTTGCTCTTGGGGTATTTGGTGCCGTCAAATTCAGGATAATGTTTTTTCAAAAAAGTTTCTTTCTGGCTGCCCTTTGGCAGTGAAAGGATCAGTCAGATAGTTATTGCCATGGTAAAATAAGGTTCCGTTTCTCTTTGTCCGAATTGCCAATCGCTGAACACAGGCAGGTCAATTCATTTTGTAGTTGACGGTGACTGTTCACGGGGCTGCTTTGGACACTTCTTCCGCAAGTGTGCCCAATTATGGCATAGACGACAGAAACTGTCTTTATCAGAGTGGGCAAACTTGCGGTTAGTTGGTCCACTCCAGCAGCTGGTTTTGTACTTACATTCTTTGTGCTTGAAGGGGTTTTTGAAGTAAATCTTTTCCGCCTTGGTGTGCCGGTGTGTGCAATTCAAGCCACTCTTGCAATGGGACCTATATTCACAAAGTTCGGAAAACTTTTGGGTTTTCTTGCGTTGTTTACTTCGGACAACTTGAAATTCATTGTCAGTGACATTGTGGTTAAAGTCATTTTCTTGATCGAGGTGTCCTTGTTCTGCCTGACGTTCACTTTTAGAAAGGTCATCATAGCTGCTGAAGTGGCTTAGTTGATCAGTTGCATCTTCTAAAGTCTCATACGTGTTGGTGAAGGATATTTTTTCCTTTTTAGGAACTTCTTGGCGATAGGCTGGAAAAATTACTACTCTTTCTGGATACTCTTTTTGCAGCTGTTCAAATATTTCGTCAAAATGAGAAGAAAATTTCTTGTCATCTTTAGGCTTCACAAGCGAAAAAACAAGAACAACGTCTGTTCCTATACAACAGAACTGAAAAGGCCAGCGTAACTTTGCAGTTAGGTCCCTTTGCCAGGCGTCAGTTTTAAGGAAATTCAATATAACTGCAGATCGATTGTTCTGCTCTGAGGATAATTGTTTTTCACTAAATTCAAAATTAGTAAAAGAGATATCTTCTAGGTGGGGATCTAACGAGCTAATTAACATTAATTCTGGATGGTCTTCCTTTAGCTTTTTCAGTGCATTTGATATGCCACTGTCCCACATCCATATCTCAAAGGACCATTTCTTACTCAGACCTTCTTTTATTGCTGGTATGAGATCAGCATCCCCACTGACGAGGATTATTGTTCCTTTGGCGACGCTTCTATCAGACACCAAAGCGGTTATGTCCTTCACTATTTTGTGGTCAACCTGTTTTTCTTTGTTGGTAAAAAGGCTTCTTTTTGATAATATAACGTCCCACCCACATCTCCTTGATTTCTCCCACACAGTGTCTATTGGGGGTGGTTCTGATCCATACAGGTTATCGCAGGCAATTTCTCTGCCTTTGGCCACAAATTCAGCAACTTTTCCCATGTCCATGCGCAACCTCGGGTCTTCTACGCATTTGAAGTTTCCTTGCTTAGCAGCAAGTTTCTTCGCTTCTATCCACATATTGGAATCATCAACGTAAATAAAGACGTGCTCTCCATGGCCAGATACCTTTGGCTTGATCCGCAGAAGTGCGGCCTCACATGTACACTGTATTTCTTCTTGGTTGCCACCGTCTCCAGGTGCCTCAAAGAGCAAGTCCATGTAACAGTCATTGCAGGTTTTGTGATTGTTTTCACAACTCCAGTGCTTGTGATACTTTGTGAGCTCTTTACGGCAACTTTGACAAGCATCGATGCTTGTTACGAAACCTAGTGAGCAAAGGTATCTTGATAAATCACTTTACAGTGAAACCTCTCCTTTGGGAAACCTCTATTCAAAGGACACCTCAATTCAGGGGACACAAAATACGGTCCCGGAAAAATGTTCACATAATCTTAGCTCTATTGAAGGGACACTCCGGCCTGAAAAGGAACACATTTTGTGGGTCCCCTGGGTTTGACCTCCATTCAGGGAACACCTTTAATTAGCACTAGGTCTCAAAACGTGACTGACCACAAAGAGGGTTGATATTTTTAAGTAGCTTTAAGTGTGCACTGATCACAATGATGGCAGCTTTCAGAGACTGAATTATCTCACCTAATTCAATTTACTGCACTTGCAGTGTAAACTCAACTTATAATGTCTCAGCGATAAGGTAATGTCTTCGTTGGTTAATTATTTACAAACCCCAACCCAACCTCTATTCAAAGTACACTTGCATCGGTCGAAGGTGTCTTCTGAATAGAGGTTCCACTGTACTCAGTAGCGAATTCGGTGTCACAGTGTGTGGGCATGCCCTCGTTTTGGACATCCCCATTCCATTACCCTAATGATATGGGCATCCCCTGTAACCCTCACCCTAACCCAAATCGCTAAGGTAATTTGAGAAGGGGATGCCCAAAACGCGAGGATGCCCATGTCACTGTAACGGGTTCTTTCTGGAAAGTGGGGGACGGGAAGGAGAAGAGCCCGTGAACGAGTTTATATTGAGCGCGCGTCAGCTGGGTGCGATTCGGTGTGTAATTAGAGTCACGTTTACGGCAAACGTCAGATGTAAGGTAAGAAATTCTCAAAATAAAAAATGAACAGATAAAAACAGCTCAAAAAAATCGACGGCTTGTGGATAAACTGACTGGCGTGACATATAAGCTAAGGTCCTTTAACATTAAATTTATGAATAATTTAACAGACATTCAGTTGCACTGTGACACCTTAAACATTTCCCAATTTAATCTTGAATCTTGCAGAAGAGCTTGCTAACTGCCACAAATTTAATTAAGAAATAGGTGAAATGCAGGCACAGATTCCCGTGAGGTATAAGATATCTACCGTGAGAGTAAACATAATGCTTGTAATATTTTTCACCTTTCGCTGTTATTTGTTGCGTTAATTCCTTACAGGTGTGCTATTTATTTTATGCTGATTTGTGAGCGAGCTGGCCACGGAGATGGCTGACAAAAAAAAAATAAATTGTCGATCTGACACAGGATTAGCAAGAAAGGAATTCCATCTGGAATATCACTAGCTTTGTAAAGAACGCCGGTGAAGTATTGAAGCGATACGATACAATGAAAATAATTTTTGAGTTGTCTGCCATTACGTCAGAAAGAAGCGGAAGTTCTTTCCAAGAACTCTCAGTGGGCTAGAAAGGGCTAGAAACGCCTGATTTCTCGGAAACGGTAAATTTTTTACGCCCTGTTTAGGAACTGATATGCCGCGTCATTTTTCCCGGAAATATATTTATTCTGAAGGTTTTCTTTTGAACCTGCAAAATGCAGGAAAGAATTGTTTTGGTATTGCGAGGCCGTAAAGGAATGTTTTACATTTGCAGGAAGATGTAAACCTCATTGATTTTGCAGCTATTTAATAATCGCTCATGAAAGTTTTTTCGGTTTATCAATTTTTTTGCTCGGAGTTTTTGCCTAGACTTGCATACGACATCGCAAGAGTATTTTTGACGGCGTATTTTAATACAGTACTTAATTTGCAACTTCTGGCATCTGTCCTGTCTCTAACAGTCTTCTCATCAGTAGCTTTGCCCCTAATTTCATTTAACATACCCTTGGGACATGGTTGTAGTATAAAAACCGAGATAACTGTAGAAACTTACCGCCAGTTCCTTGGCTTGATTGAGAAGAAGAATTTGAAGCCATGTCTATGTTTTGAATGTCAAGAAATTTTTGGAAGATTCTGGACAGGCTTTTAGTAGTGATCACGTGATCATTGTCTGCCTAGTCCCGGTAGGGCGTTTTCCCACTCCCTCTCGGTCAGTTCACTTCGGTGACGTTCCGAGGAGAACGGAAACGAAACGCCCTCACATCTTCGCTTGGACCACGTGACCTGAGACGCTTTGGCCGCGCGCAATAATGAGGCCTAGGGACTGAGCAAGGACTGGCTTATATTAGTGATCAGTGTCAAGCTTTCTCTGGTATATAGAGTGCGTTTCTTTACTCAAATCCAAATCCGGATGTTTCGTTTCTTTACAAAAATGCAAAATAGTCTCCAACGGAGGTGGATTCTTTGGATCATACCCAAAACCGGATACTTTGGATACATGATCCGAAGCAGGAGCCCTTATCCTTAGCGTTTCTTTACTACGGATCCGATAAGAGTGAATACAGCCAGCGGTAACTCGAAACAATTTTAAAAGATACAGCAGCTGTTTGACAACAATGCTCATCTTTACTGCTATTTTGAACTCGAGGCATGGATTAAAAGCCATTAAAAGATCAATTTTATCCGTTATATCGGGACAGTAAAATCGCAATACAAACGGGACCTGCATTGTTCTAGTTCACCAGGACCCTGGGGGAGGTGGATACTTCCTTGTAAGAGGCTAATGGGGATGTGCCGCTGGATGGAGTCGCATTTTCACGTCTGGATTGACTATAATGGGGTCGCATTTTCAATAGAGTTACTAAAATAGGGTCGCATATTTTCGGATTTTTGGGGTAAGAAAGTGCTTCACATTTGCGGTTATCAAACGTACCATAATGTGTGTACTGTAGGAGGAAAAGTGAAGTGTTCTTCATTGTCAATTCATTTTAGGATGACCTAGTTAAAAGCCTGTATAAGGTAGATGCGTAAATAAGAGTGACTATGTTGGGATCGTAAAATTTGATTTGCCTAAAAGTGACTAAGCTGGATTCTATAATTGGCCACAGAATAGACTATAATGGGGCAGGGGTTGTGAGAGGCCTGCGGCACATACCCAGCAAAAATTAACCCAAGAACCCCCCCCCCTCCGGACCAGGACAAATCGAGACAAAACTGCTACACAACTTGCAAAATTTTACTTTTCCAGTGGTCATCTTATTTCAGAAGACTCATCTGCAAGTAGTATCCTTGAGCTAACCGTCCAAAATAAAATGAAAGACCATTTGCCCCTGGGTTGTCTGTGGCATCCTCGTTTGGTCTTGTTGAACCGTGGGGTCCTGGGAAAGAGGTCGTTCTTTGATAACACGACGTAGTCTGATAACACCAGAACACTCAGAGCAGAAGAGATGGCGCTTAGGAGAGCATTACATTTCGTTTTTAAAATCGGAAATAGGAATGAAACCATAAAATTTTACCGTGAAATACTTGGGATGAAGGTAAGAGATATTAGTTATTGTGTCAGTCATTTTGGCGCGTCGTTTCGTGCTTGCCTATGGATGACTCATTTTGCTCTTATAATTGTGCGCGCCTTGCTGCATAGTTTTCCGTCTTTTTACCTTAAAAACACGGTGGGTATCAAAAGTAATTCCATTCTTTTGATTTTGGAACAAACTTGTCCTGTTTATTAGGTTTTGCGCCATGAAGAGTTTGAAGAGGGTTGCAAGGCATCTTGCAATGGGTACGTATGGCATGTGATTTTGCAAAATTCAGTAGGCTTATTGTAGAAAAAACGCTGACATCATAGAATTTTTAGATTGAAATGAAAAGTTGTTAACATCACTCATGTACGCCATGCACTGCCAAAGTTCTCACCCTTTTCAAGGCTTTTGGAAGAGAAAGACACCCTTTCCATGGTGCTAAAATTGAAATTGTATTGTCTGTTGAACCATATATACCCATGTGGGCCACCAACCCCCCCACCCCCCCAAGCTTATATGAGCAAAGCAAATGCCAGTGCAAATTCAAGCGTACTGGAGACACACAAACATATGTAAAGAGGCTGCCTTAATGGAACACAATAGAAGTACAAGTGCTACCTCAACAAAGCTAAAAATTTTAATTTCTAGCGTTGCCCTTGCCTTCAAAAAACACATGTTGATACTTAAGCATTAAGCCTCCTACTTCTCCTGATGAGAATCACCTGATAAAAACCAGATCATATTTTTTACAAATGACGGGGTTTATTTTGCCACATGATAACAATAAATTTTTTATGTGTATGGACTTTGAAGAAGCTTTAGAGTATCATTACTTCCTGTTTTATCATGGTTTTATTACTCAGGGGTTTCAATAATAATTGAAGTAGCCAGCAGGTTTGAATAGAGTAACCGACCGTATCAACAAGGGGCCGTTAGTCCCCTTCTTCTAGGTGGGTCTGGGGGTGTGCTCCCCAGAAAATTTTGGAATTTTGAAGCCCTAAAATGAGATTTCCAGTGTTCCAGGGACTAAATTGAGAACAGTAGAGCCTGTTTTTCTTTCAAGAAAATATAGCTTTCATTCAGGTTTCATAGCCACACAATCAATTCTTACAAGCAATGAACAAATGTTGATATTCAAAATTAAGTACATTTGCAAATAAACAAATTCTGCGTAAACCTACAAAGAAACGTGGAAAAAAATTGACTGAAATACAGCGTTTGTGTAACAAGACAAGAAAAGACAAGACATTAATTATCATAATATTGCAAGTAACCAGAAGTGCTTCTGGTGTAACTAAAGCATGACATATCAGTGGACCTTGAAAGCTCATCATATTAACTTACGTTTTAATTCAGATTTAATTAAATATCTTTTGTTTCCGACATTTTTTAAAACTTGCTTCTTCTTCGGAGAAAAAAGTAGGCGATTGCTCTTAGCAAAGTAGCCGACGCGTTTCGTTGGTCGTCAGTACTTATTGAAACCCCTGATTACTGTTGTAACATTCTTAAGCCTTTTAAAAAAGGTTATGCAAATTAGACTGCCTTTACATGATCAACTTATAAAGAAGACAGCCTAATTTGCTTATTGTTTTGGGATAGTCTAGATCATGGGGACAATGGTAGAAAAACAGTAGTTAGCTTGTTTTAGGTCACTGAACTGCACAAGAGGGAAAAATCAACGAAAAGATAGCTGATGCATTGTAACAGTTTATAGCTGTAGTAGCACTTTTTCTCTGAGGGATTAATAACCTGCTCTTATACAATAGATGTAATAGCAATGAGAACAAAAATTGTATAAATCCGTCATGATAGAGATGTGATGGTGAATTTTAAGTCTGGTGAATATATGAATACATTTGACTCCTATTACAAGTACTAGGATCTTTTCTTCTACTCTGTCTTTGCCACTGACTGAAGAAACATCTTCCAAAAAATGCATAGTTTTGGGCTCTCCTTTTTTGCATCCCAGGTTACCACAGCAACACTATGGTGCTTGATAACTTTAATAACTTTAATTAACTATAAGGACTTTGAACTAAAATTTAGTACAGTGTTAGTGAGTTGAACTGTAGCCATGGTAAACTTTTGTGTCAGGAAGGGACCATATAACATACAAGTGTATAGGTATTAGGGAAACCAGGGTCTGATCTAGGAGGAGGGTGCAGGGAGTGTGCACCCCCCCCCCTCCCCCCTGAGATGACCTGTGGCTTTCTAAGACAACTGGTATTCTGCAAAAAAAGAAAGCTTTGTGGTTTATAGGTGTTGAAGTAAAGTATGAGATAGAGTTGAAGAATTTCTGTTAAGTGCTGTAAAAATGGTAGTTAAAATGGTAGTTTCTTAGTGGTGCACTCCCTCCTTACAAAAATCCTGGATCCCCCCTGGAAACCGTTTGGGCTCTCCAGTGGAAAGTGATTTTATCCGGTGGATAGCTCAATCCACCTTTTGAACATCTGGTGCCTGATGCCAAAAGAATGTCAATTGTTGAACTATTGGGAAAAGTTCCTAATCTTATTTTATTGCTTCTTGATTGTACTTACTTTCTAGTTCATTAATTTTGCAGTCCTTATGATGGAAAGTGGAGTAAGACCATGATTGGGTTTGGACCAGAAGATGAACACTTTGTTCTTGAACTAACTTACAACTATGGTATTAAAGAGTATAAACTAGGAAATGACTTTCAGGTAATTTATATTATGGGATCATACTGTATCATAATTTTACAAGTCCTATTACACAAATGAAGAGTGCTTTGTTGTCCATTTTTTTTCTGCCTTGACACACACGCACACCGTGAATAATTTGTGGGATTTTTTGGTTTGGAAATTGTCAGATTAGTTGTTTGTTTTGCATGGTCTCAGATCATGTTTAAAACATGCTGGTAGAAAAAGTGAAAAAAAGAAGTGAATTCCAACATTGACCAGTTTTAATAATCTCTTTTCTTTTTATCCTCTATGCGTTTTTTAAATTCGTTCATTTATTATTATTATTACTATTATTAGTTCTTATTTTATCTTGTGAATAGCATCTTTATAGTTGTATTGTTATATTCTAAGGTTTTTTAATGTGCATGTACAAGTTTTACATCTGTGAAAGGATAGTTGCCTTTAAAAAAAAAAAATTCCCCCAGCTTCCACCCTGCCACCTTTTACCTTCTGAAGTTGTAATTTATTGTATGGATGGCAGAGTATCGGTAAACATAAACTTTAAACTTGTCCGCAGGGTCTTTCAGTTCACTCCAAGGCTGCTTTTGCCAATGCAACAAAACACAACTACCCCAGCCAAGAACAATCAGACAATTGCATGACTGTTCAAGCACCAGATGGCTACAAATTCTTACTAGTTAATGAGGATGGTAAAGATGGGGCAGGTGAGAGATATTGATTGTATTCTCATGAAAGATTGCCTTCAAGGAAAATAAGAAATAACCCTTTCACAGTTTTTTCAACTTTTAATGAAGAAACTGCTGGAAAGAGGACCCTAAAATGAAGTTACTTTAGTTACCAAGTTTAAGTGTGATACATCCAAAGAGAGTGAAGTTGTTGCTCCACAAAGTTGCTGAGATGTTTGTATGGTGGGCAAGGTTGTCAGAAAGTTTTGAAATAGATGGCTGAGTTGTCAAAGTAAGCAGCCAGTCCGGGGATATTTTATTTAAAAGAACATTTGTAAAGAAATGCCAAGCAGATTAGCTGGCTGATACTAACCAAGTACATGTAGGTAGCGATTTTCGCCGGCAGCTGGTCTACTTTTGACAACCCTAGGTGGGGAGGCAAGATTGTGAAATTTTACAGACATTTTTATGTTTTGGGGCAAAAAACTGTCTGTAATATTCAGTGGGTTTGTGGTTTTATGTCTTTGTTTGTTTTCAACAAATCACTTATAAACTTGGCAAGTGTACTGATTTTAAGGTGTCCTTTCCATCTTTGTTGACCACTTTTTGCTTACTGAAACCATGGAAGGATCTATTTACATGTAATGATGAATTTATTTGTGTGGCAACTCTTGTCTCAAAGTCCACAAATCTTATAGCAATGAAATGTTTGGCTGAATCTCCACAGTCTTTGTCAGCAATAACAGAGCTCAGGGTTGAGACTGTGGAGTTTTTATTCATCAAGTGAACACTAATAGATAAAAGTAATCTTCTAGAGAAGAAAAAGAGAGGCACAGCAACAGGCAGCAAAGATAACAGCATTGTGAAGTTTAGTTGTTAAGTTTATTTTGTGTGGACGGATGAAAAGAAGAGGTGTTCTAACATGATGATCACATCATTATAGTATAAGCATTATGCATGCTTTCCACTGTATTTCCATCGTTTTAGTGTTTTCAAGATCTATGTGAAAAAATATTCAGCTATGCGGGGACGGGGCCTTAAACACTGTGAGAATTATTTTTTTGGCCTGTTGATAGAACTTGCAGCCTTCCACTCTTTAAAGCTAGCCACTGCTTATAAGGTAGAGTAAACAAGAATGCGCTTACAGCGGCATTCAGTCTCACTCTCCTTGGAGATTAGATCGAGAAATGAGGAGGCAATTAATTCTATGTGAAACAGGATTTACTTGCTAAAGGTTTTTTACTTCCTACTCTATCGACGTTGATACTTTTTACTTTTTTCCGAGTTCATTTAGTACGCGTGTTAGCGACGACTGGAAACACGTCTGCGGTTGCAGGCTATACGCGGGTATTAAATAGACGAAAATTCAAGGCCCTTGATTCCAGATAAATTACATCATTGCCAGAGATCAAAAAAGTTATATACCATGGCATGCTCATCACAAGACACATTTGCATACAATGAAAGTTTACAACACCCGACCATTGCAGTTTTGCTAATTAAGATTCTTATTTTTTTTTTCGACCACTCAGTAGTGTTCACTTGTTTCAAAGTAATCAACACTTTCAAGTAATAGAATTTGTGGACTGACACATTTCAGAAAAGCTCTAAATTTAATCTTTCCTAAGCTTTCGTCGCAAAACATGCGTGGCTTCGATCATGCAATGATTCTTAGTCCCAGTTTCCAGGGTCTCTGCAAGGATGCCTGGCACAATGACTCCCGATTTGTGTACAAAATACAAAAAAAAACCCGGGGGGTACTTCCAGAAAAGTTTGGTGGGGGTTGGCGACACACTTCCTGAAACCCTTACCCTATTTGAGACCAAAGTCTGTGATTTTTCCTACCCTATTTCAGACCTAAAGCCCTGGAGCCCGGCGCGTGACCGGAGCATGTGACAAGCTGTTACAGCATGTACACGGTAGTTTGTGTAAACATTAAAAGGAAAATGGTCTTATTGCCAAATGATGAAGAAGTTGGTAATTCTTCTAGAAAGGGTACCCAAGTCAGGACTAGAGTGCACAAACCATAACCTATTTCAGACCAAAACGGCTAAAAAACCATACCCTTTGGCGCGGCACATACCTATATAGCCTACATAAGGGACTACCCCCCAGGGCGAAAAACGCGTTGCAGATTATGAGTCTCGCTGCTTATGCAAGCGAGACTAACAAATACTTTTTTGTCTAATATGTTTAATGTACCCAGATTTAGTAACAAAGGTAGCCATTGGAGTGTCCAACCTAGCGAATTCCTTGGGTTACTGGCACAAGTTATTAGGAATGACAGTGTTTGATCAGACAGACACAACAGCAGTATTGGGTTATGATGCTGACAAATGCAAGCTTGAACTTATTCAACTTGAACAACCAGTGGATCATGCTACAGCGTTTGGGAGAATCGCTTTCTCATGTCCTCAAGATCAGCTACCAGCCATTGAAAGAGCTGTCAAAGAAGTTGGTCACCCAATATTGACTCCACTGGTTAGTTTAGACACCCCAGGAAAGGCCACAGTAGAAGTTGTCATATTGGCTGATCCGGTAATTTAAGCATTTTATTTTGTAGACACAAGCTTAGGGCTGTCATTTAGAGCCTGGGGTAGGGGATTTCCCCCGGCTATTATGAACGTGACCCCCGGCTACTTTCATTGGAAAACAGAAGAAAAATAGAAGCAAAAGAAATCCCTAGCTGTTTGATTCCTCACCTACTTGTTGTATTTACCGGACAGCTTGAAATCTTAGTGACAACCCTGCAAGCTTTTGTGGAGGGTGTACTGGTAACCATTGATCTTTTGTACTTGACGTTTTCATTGGCCCACAAAAAACACAAGGCAGTATGAAATGAGAATTTAACATTTATCGCTTGAAGTTTTGTCCTGGGCACCACATATTGTTTGTTGGAATGAAAATGACCCAGTTAGTTACTGTAGCCCCAATTTGCCACAGATATTGTAGCTAAGGATAAGTTTTGAATTTATCATTGGATTTTTGGGACAAAACTGAAAAGTGCCAGAGGCTACTACAATTAATGGAGAATTAGTTGGTGATTGCCAAAAAAATCTGTTGGATAACAAACTGTGATGTCAACTGAAAACAATTACTAAACTCTCCATCCCCCTCCCCCTGCTTACCAAACTTGTACTGAAAATGCCCGTTCCTATTCAAAAGTGGCTGAACATCAACCAACATTTTGTGATGTCCTGGCCCCAGTTATTCAAAAGTTGGATAGTACTATCCACTGAATAAATCACTCTTTAGAAGATACACTCTAAGTATTAAGGAAAGTAATGTTATCCACTGGATAGAGATTTATCCAGTGGATAACTAATATTTGCAGTTTTAATATATTTATTTTTTCTCAAGCTTGTTTCTTTAAGTAATTTGAGTCCTTTTACCTTTTAGGATGGCCATGAGATTTGTTTTGTTGGTGATGAAGCATTTAGAGAACTGTCACAACCTGATATTAATGGAGATCAGCTACTGGATAAGGTGAGTAAGGTTGACAAATTTATGTCTCCCACCTGAAATTTCATACCTCTCAACTTTGAGAATAATTTATTGGCTGGGGTCAGCAATAACTAAATAAATAAATAATTGAAAATAGTCTTTACTGAATTAGGCATAAGGTTTTTGGTTTGGATAATTTATGTGATATTTAAATGAATCTAGTGAGGGATAATGTTCAGTGAAGATTAATGGAGAGAGATCATTCCATCGTTTCATTATTCTCAGAAAGAAAAAGGTGCTCAGCAGGGCTGTCATTAAGAGGTGGGGGCCAGAGATTATCCTGGCTACCATGAACGTGGCCCCCGGCTACTTTCATAGGCAAATAAAAGAAAATAGAACCAAAAGAAATCCCTAGCTCTTTGATTCCCCACCTACTTCTTGTATTCACCTGGCAACCTTAGTGACAACCCTGGCTTGCTTGATAATTTTGTGCTTTCTGAACCCAATTTTTTCCTTCTCTTCCTAGGCCATGGCTGAGGACAAAAGCGATGAATGGTTTAAAAAACGAAAAAAGTGGCAGATTTGAACATGTGGTTAATAATGAAAACACTCTAGCTAGTAGTTAGTATTATTTAGTGAGTGGTTAGCAGGTCACCATAATCCCATAATTTCCCATAATTCACCTTTTTCACCCCTATTTCACCCCCCTCCCCCTCGCCTCCTACACGCACACGCAGACACACACGCACTTGGGCAATGAAACTGAGGGAGTCATAATGAGCAATACAGACATAATTATACTGATACCTAATGGAAGAGGGAACAAGAAACTTAGGCCTGTGAAAACTTGCTCATTCCTCACTTCAAAGAAAAAAAGGACCGTTTTTTTTTTGTCCAAAGGGAGGGGTGACTATACACAGGTTAAGGAAGCCCACTTCTCATAAGTGATGTTTAGTGGAGCCCTTGAAGGAAGGTAGAGAATCACGTAGTGATAGACAATAGTCTATTTTAAAATTAGTAAAATGCAAAAGAATAAAATATCTAGTGATGTAAATTATGATAATTTTTTTAAATCTGACTTGAAAGGTTTTGAATGTGACAATCCGTCGGTTGCTTTAAAATTGGAAAGAAAATACACCTTTATTGAAGCTTTAATTACCATAGATCCCCTGTTAAGCCGCCCCGCCTCCCCCCCCCTCTCTAATAAGTTTCTGTGTGGAGAACTGATACCATAGTCTTTTCTGAATTAAATAACCCCGCCCCCCTTCTCAATGTACAAGGATTTGATACGAGTAGAACTGAGAACACAACACTTAAATCACCACGAGACAGACTTATCTATTCTGTTACAGACGCTACGCACGTGTCATTCCCCGGAGCGGTTCAGAACGGTTTTTAGTTTTATCTGCTTCATATATGACAGCATAAAGTGTCCTACTACATCAAGTCGGGGTCAAGGATTGACGGTAGTTTTAGCTTTAGTAACGTCTTCAAGTGTAACTGTGTTAACGCTTTGCTGTGAGGATCGAATTCTAATGTGAATTAACATTTTATTCTTTGATATCTAAGTGAATTGTGGCTGAAGGGTCCAAGATAGTGAACCAATCAGATTGCTTAAAACATCAACGTCACTAAGTGTTTATATATTAATTATGGATAGCGCTCATTGCAGTAGAGCATGCGTAAATGCCTTAGGCTGGTCCCAGTAGTTCAAAGGACTGAAAGCAATATCCTGCAGTTGAATAATAGTTTGTTGTTTTTTGCATCCCTGTCCTAAAATATTGAACTAGAGGTAATCATTGATTACCGATCCGCGTTCGTCACCTACGGAAAAAATAGAGAAAGGAGTCCAGTTTCCCGACCGAGGTGCCCCTGATAAAATTAATAGAGGCTGCTAATTTGTAGTCGCCCGTGATAGCTCGAAAATTTCTTCCTTAGTGCCACAGGAACACCAGATTAGGATGCGTTGTGACGAACGCGAATAGTAAGAAAATACCCACATTCTGCTTCTATATGTCCTGGTTCTCATCTGAAGAGGCTGCCTTTAATATGAAAAATGTAGAATTGAATGCTGGTTTCTAACCTGAGATCAAGCCCAATTTGAGCGGTTCTCATACATTCTCTCTAACGGCTACCGCCGGAATGTTTTTTACAAAGCGAAACGAAAATAGAGCCTGATCTCAGGTTAGCTGGTTTCAAACACTTAAAAGAAATTTTGTTTTTCTATAATTATGTTTGCGCAGAGACAGTCTTTTGTGTCGACGCCCATCCTTTTTGAAATCTCCCGCGGAAAGATCGTAACCTGGGGATCAGAACAAAGAAGACAAAATATCTACTCACAAGTTATACAACCACAACCTCTTTCTGAAAACAATGATTAGATAGTTACGACCCTGTTCAGGACAGGTTGACTGGCATGGGTTACAACTATTTATTTTTAATTCAAAATATTCTCCGTTTCTGATCGGCTTAAACTCTCCCGGCTAATTCTTCATAGCCAGCTGGTGCTATAACGTTGACCAAACTTTTAAAATGTTTGTTAATATCAAATTGTCGTCAATTGTACTGATAAATCGACAGGG